ATATATAGACAATTGGCTACCATCTTAATTCCATTGACTGTTTTTATACCTTTTAATTTTCAAGTCTGTTCAGTTGGCTGGAATCATGGGAAGACTTGACGTGGAAATTTATGATTCCTTGAATAACTGGAGTATCAGAGAGTTCTCTCTTGCCTGCCCCTTTTTTGTAAAATTGTCAGGTTGGTTTGTATTTTGCATCACTGTCCTGATAATGTCTTGTTGCTATTTTATGATTGAGTTTCTTTATTGTGGTGCCAGAGTGTTTTTCTAATGGAACGATTACGGTGGTACTTCCCAAACTGGAATCGGTACCACATCTTCATCCCGGTGAACTCTCTCTAAGAGACCCGGCATGCAAACCCTACGACAATGAAGACTACTTTGCTTATTTCCACTTTAATGTCACCAGTTGTGGAACCACACGAAAGGTACAATGAAGACATGTGCATCAAACATTTGCGCAACTATTGTATACGTGAAGGTGGTTCACATACTGTTTTGCTTGTTCAGTTTGTTGGGGATACCATGGTATACGAAAATGAAGTCACCAGGAAGAAAGCTGAACCTTTGTCACAGACCTTCGAAAACCCTGAGCCAGAATACAGGTTAGGGGCAATTTTTTTTTTTTCTTTTTTTTTAACAATTCATATATCACTAAGGTTTGCCCACTGAAACAAGTAGGTAGTTTAAACCTTTAATCCTTCAGTGTTTAACCCATTTTGCAGTTTCCTTTTATTAAAGTATTGGTGTAAACTTGGTTGCTTACTAATGGCTTTAAATTACATTACGCACTTGTTTGAAGGACAAAAATGCCTGAGATGTTAGTGAAGTGTTACTATTTCTATTGAAACTGCTCATTTCAAACAGGTTCATGGTGTCCTGTGTTTATATTGCAAACGCCACCCAAAGCATGAACTTCGAGACGGTTTCGCACTTTAAGGAGCCGTATGCAGATGTTGGGAAGGGTGAACTCACCATTAGCCTGAGGCTTTCTAAGGGTATGTAAACCGCTTTAGCTATGCAAGTTACTACTTTGTCCAGTGTTGTTTTTTTGGAATAGCATGCAATTATGAATCATTCACAAGATACTAACTAGTTTAAGACAAATGCCAGTCAATCTGAGCAATATGTGGTATAATGTTTTTTTTTTTTTTTTTTTTTCCGTCCCCAAGATATGGTTTACCGACTCTTCTATCATGATGGTGACTACCCAGTTTTAAAGTTTCTGAAACAGCCCCTCTATTTTGAGGTGGGTATGAATCACTCCAGTGACTCCAGGTTAGCAGTAGCCCTGGAAAACTGTTGGGCGACACTCACCGAGGACAAAGAATCCAAACCTAGATGGGATTTAATAGTTGATGGGTATGTTTGAAGCATCGCATGTGTTTGTGGAGCATTTATACTTGAAGGTTCTAATTCTTCATCTCAACCAGATGTGCCAATCCTAAAGATCCTGAACAGACCATCATCCGTCCTGTAGTCGCAGATGAGAGAGTGAACATCCCAGATCACTTCAAAAGATTTGAGGTTAAAACATTTACTTTCACAGAGGATTATGAGAGTTCTAATAGTGAGAATGCCACATTGGCCAGAAGGGTAAGTTGAAAAGTTTCCATAATTTGAATAAATACAAATTATTTAAGAGTCTGATGTCTGCAGTGTTCTCTTCATGTGTATTGAGGATTGAACCAATAAGCATTTAACAGTTAATTTACGTTGCCCATTTAGGTATTCGTTCATTGTGACGTCATTATTTGTCATGCCAAGAACACTGCTGATGGGCGTTGTTACAAACAGTGTGAGGCGGCTCAGAATCTGATTGGTAGCAGCTCAAGTCGAGGTAACCATTTCAATTCAATCAGGTGAAAGTGCAGTTTCTCATCTCTGACTGGTCTTACTATTCTACAGTTCGCAGAAGTACAAGCTTTTCAGATGAAGCTCTGCAGCATGTGTCTATAGGCCCCATTCTGTTGATGTAAACCTGTAAGTTTTACATTTTCAAATTATCACAGGAAATGAACTTTACTAATTCTGAAGGCATCAACACAAGGAGATTTCTGGTTTTGTACACATGGTGCAACATGAAACTCAAATTGTCATATAGCTGATGCAGATGATGATGTGAATCTGTGGACATTGATTTAATAAAACCTACCCTGTGAAACTTCCAAAATCATTACACAACTGACACTCTCCCATTGCAATTACTTAATGTAGATGATTTGATTGTCTCAAGCTTAATAAAGCGTTTTAACCCAATCGACTGAGTGGAATTTTATCCTCAAATTATGAACATATACCACATGACAAAATATTAAGAATGCAGTCATGGCTATGATGTATGTGACTGTTGAAAGCAATTTAATGTATAAATGTAGTGTGTTTTTCTGGACCATTTATATAAAAATAAATGGTGGAAATCGTTCATTTCCCCAGATCTTTGGATGAATTTCATATTAATCATTCTGATTCATAATCTAAAATTAATTCATGAAACTAGTGTGAACGAGTGATTGTTATAGCTGTTCCTTCAGATTAAACCCCAAGTAGGAAGAGGCAAGTAGGTTGTCTGTTATGTTGATGATCAATGTTTAAACAATCACCTCAGCATGTAATTTGTTTTGTATTGGGCCACTGTATGCTATTGCTAACTGAATGTTACTAATAACAGAAAGGATAATAGTTGGCAGTTGTGCTGCACAAGGAATATTATGACTTTTTTTATTTTTTATTTTAAGTTGATTTACTAATGTATACTGTTCAGGAATGGGGCAGTTCATATTGAAATATGTGTTTGCATGTATAAATATGTCCACTAATGTTAGTGTTTTCAAAATGTCTTAATCAAAATGTGTATTAAACCCCTCCCTCTAGCTCTGTCATCACAAATGTTTAAATCAAATAAAGGTTCTTAATAATCTAGTTCTCATTGTCTAATGGAAAGACAGCGAGTACATTTTTCTTTGTATATTTTCCTGTTAGAATGTGTGAAGCTGAACATTGTACACTTTACACATGGGAGACCAGCATATGACCTTTCTGCATGAAGATAATGGATGACTCTTCGTGAAACGCAATAATAGCAAACATTCTGCTCAGTCGAAAGAAAATGTTGACATTTATTGAATCTGAAACCTGGAAGATGTTAGTGCAGTGTAAGCTGTTGAGAAATCAGTTCCTTACAAGATTTGTCTGCCACAAAAAATAAACAGATTATGTATAAGATTTTGAATACTTAGTTTCTGTTTTTAAAATGAAAGATTTACTTGTGAATTTTTTTTTTATTTTTTTTTTGCAAAAAAATATATTGTCAATGCATAGTTTCAAATGCCGTTCAATAGAAAACCCTCATTTTGACCCTATAATGGTGTAGTTATGACATTGACCAGCAGGAGCAAACTGGACTATGCAAACCAACCAGATCTTGAAAGAGATCAAGACTGTATACATGCATTATTTCCTCAGGATTTCCTCTCTGAAAAATAATGCTCCCGTTACTTATGTAACTTCGGTTCCCTGAGATAAGGGAATGAGTGTTGCGTCACTGATGCTTTTCTGTTTGACTTAGTTTCTGTTTTTAAAATGAAAGATTTACTTGTGAATTTTTTATTTATTTATTTTTGGCAAAAAAATATATTGTCAATGCATAGTTTCAAATGCCGTTCAATAGAAAACCCTCATTTTGACCCTATAATGTTATGACATTGACCAGCAGGAGCAAACTGGACTATGCAAACCAACCAGATCTTGAAAGAGATCAAGACTGTATACATGCATTATTTCCTCTCTGAAAAATAATGCTCCCGTTACTTATGTAACTTCGGTTCCCTGAGATAAGGGAATGAGTGTTGCGTCGCTGATGCTTTTCTGTTTCTGTTACTGAAGCCTGATTTGTTCATGTTCGTGTAGCTGCACGAACAAATGGTGTTCACCTGCCCAAAAGGGGTGGAGCCGGCCTCTATACAAGCCGGCTCTGAGCGCCATTTCATCAGAATCTTTCTACTGAAGCGACAGTCATCGATTCGCATGCAGCCTTATAGCACGGCAGCCGAAGGGAAACCGAAGTTACATAAGTAATGGGAGCGTTCCCTTTTGAACGGTCTCTCCTGTTGCGTCGCTGATGCTTTTGGGGAATGCATCCAAAAGCACCGTGCTATAAGCAAGTGCAGAACGAAGCCGCTCCGTGAGCCCAGCCCTGGAGCACTCTTACTGAGGGCTTCTGTAAGCATGAGCTAATGATGACACCCAAGCCGTTTAGGTTGAGGACTACATAGCATAACCCTCTCCACTTATAAGGGGATTAGGTTGAATTAAGCGGACAAAATCCGTGCCTGCAGGGCAGGTACGTCCAAGTTATAAAACCTGGTGAAGGTAGACGGCGACGACCAGCTGGCGGTCGCACAAATATCACCAATAGAAATCCCGTTGGACCAAGCCCAGGAGGGAGGCCATTCCTCTGGTGGAGTGGGCCCTCACACCTATGGGGCACTGCAAGCCCACTGAGGAGTAAGCCAAGGCTATAGCATCCACTATCCAGCGAGTCTCTGCTTCATAACCGGCAGCCCTTTAGAGCGGCCTCCGAAGTACACAAAGAGCTGCTCTGAGTGTCTAAACAGACCAGAGTGCTCGACACACTCTAAGAGCCCGCATTGGGCAGAATGAATTGGGACCCTGCTCACTATCTTAATTGGGGAGCGTCAAAAGGGTGATGACTTGTGCTCTAAACAGAGTGGAGAGCACTTTCGGCACATAGCTGTGTTTCGGTTTGAGGATGACTTTACAGTCGTTAGGCCCAAAGTCAAGACAGGAAGCACTGACTGACAGTGCTTGCAAGTCACCCACTCGCTTGACTGAAGCTAAAGCTAAGTGGAGGGCAGTCTTTAGTGACAGGGGCAGCATGACGGCCGACTGGAGTGGCTCAAATGGAGGGTCCTGAGGACTATAGAGAAGTCCCAAGCCAGCACAGTATGAGGGCGAGGAGGATTCAATCTCCGAGCTCCCCTCAGAAACTTAACGACTAAGTAATTTCTGCCGACTGATTGGCCAACCACGAGAGAATGATTCGCCGTGATGGCTGCCACATACACTTTGAGCGTGGAAGGGGTGCGCCCCTTATCCAGTAACTCTTGTAGAAAGGTTAGTATGTGGGACACGTCACAAGAGGACGGGTCCTCGCTCCATACTGCACACCAGTCAGAGAAGACTGACCATTTAAGGACATAAAGACGTCTTGTAGATGGAGCTCTAGCCTGCAAAATGGTATTAGCTACACTTGAGGGGATCTGCAAAGACTCACGTTGAGGGGCCAAACATGAAGGTTCCACAGCTCTGGCTGGGGATGCCAAATCATGCCCTTTGCTTGCAAGAGAAGGTCCTTCCTCAATGGTATCGGCCAAGGGGCTGCCAATAGCAGCTCAATCAACTTGAGGCACCACATCTGATTCGTCCAGAGTGGGGCCACCAGGAGAACTGAGCATCTGACTTCCCTGACCCATCTGATGACCTGAGGAAGCAGGGCAACTGGGGGGAGGTGTACAGGTGAGTGTTATTTGAAAAGAAGATTGGGTAGTGAAAGTTGTCTTCTGAGGTGAAGAGGTACACCTCTGCCCTCCCGAAGATGGACCAAATCATTTGAACTATTTGGGGATGTAGTCTACATTCTCCTGGAGCTACCTTGCCCCTGGACAGCATGTCGGCCCTCTGGTTCAATCTGCCTGGCACATGAACTGCTCTGAGTGAGAGGAATTTGCCTTGTGCCCATAGAAAGAGGCGTTGATGTGTAAGCGCTGCTCCAGGTTTGACCAGTACTGAAGGGGCTGCATGTAAAGCTGGCCCAGAGGAATCACAGAGGAAGCAAGATTGATTCTCAACCCAAGGCGCTCCAGGTGGCTGAGCAGCAGCGACCTGTGAGCGATGAGTTCCCGTTCTTACCTGGCTAAAACAAGCCAATCGTCGAGGTAGTTCAAAATGCGGATTCCCATTTGTCTCAGAGGGGAAAGAGCTGCATTTTTCAGATTCACTGACAGAAACTCATGCTCTCGCAGTGCGAGCATGCCGTCTCAGTGAGAGCAGCCTCTGTGTGGGCGCTGCCCAGACAGGCTCACTGTGCCCGTCTGCATTGTGCAGGGGTTCCCACACTCACGGCACGACAATTGCAACAACGTTGCAGGAAATTGCTCGGAAATTTGCTCAGAAATGTGTTCTTTGGAATGACAGATGACTGCAGGGGAAGGCTTCCGTCTCCTTCTGCTGCTGGGGCTCCTTCTACGGTGGTGAGCAGGAGACTGAGCAGAGCTTCTTCAGCTTCTTGCTTGCAGAGTCAGCGAGGAGATGATCTTCGTCACTGAAGGAGAAAAATTGTGATGAAATGGCGCTTAAAGCCTGCTTATATAGAGGCTGACTCCTCCCCTTTTGG